TGTGTAAATTAATTGTAAAATGGATTGCCCAAAAAAGGATTGATTATGTTTCTAGTATGGTCAGGTGTAAACAAATCAGAAATACAGATCCAAATGTTACATAAAAAATGATTTTGATGGGGGTAAACTAGAAAGGAACTTTTTAAGAATCTAAAGAGTAAAAAAGAGAGTTTTGATATTTTCAATCCTAAAATGATCAATTGTAGGTCAAATTTGATGTACTATAGGTTGTTTTAAAGCCAGAGATGAGCTCTACAAATTCAATTATGAGATATCAGTATGTTATTAAGCCCAGTTTGCCAAGAAAGGCAAAACTTTAGAGAGAGGACAGAGTTTTGTCTACCTCGCCTGTTCTTTAAAATTAAATATCTCAAGAACGATAAGAGATAAAGGCTTGATACTTTACAAATATATGTAAATCAGTAGCTGAACAATTGTTATTAAGTGTCAAAAGGTTGTTAACTTAATAAAATTTTGTGTAAATTGAGAAAAAGTAAAAAATATTTTAGACGAAATTTTGTGTACAAGTGATAAGCAGAAAGAGTTTTTATATAAATATAAACTCTACAACTTTTATTAAAAGCCTAAGAGTAATTTACTTAGTAAGAAAAGTTTTAAATAGAAGCATTTCATATTTTCTATTTAAAGATTTTAGGTATTAATAGTTTTTTCTATTTGACCATTAGTTTAACTAGAGTTAAAGTTAGTTTTAGTTAAATTAATAGTACAAATAGCAAAATCATGATGCAAATAGCAATTTTCAAAGATTTTATATATAATTTATATATAAATCTTATATAACTTGCATCATATAGCTCTTTATATAATTGGCAAATTATCTATTAAGTATATTTAAATTTGATCAAATCAAATAAACTTTAATTTAAATTTGATTTAATCAAATCAAATTAAATTATATTTAAAAATTTTTTAAATTTTTAAAATTTTTTAGCTTTTTAAAATTTAATTTGTGCAAAATTTTATGAAGCTAATTACTTTTGTATATTAAATAAAAAATAATTTTTTACCATACTGTTTTAAACTCACACAATAGAAATATACCTTTTAGATCTAACTGTAATACAACAAATATTCATACAACAACTATTTAAAACATAGTACAATATAGAGTACCATATACCTATAGCTGTTTTTGTAGTCTGCCAGACCAACACCTCTTCCTTCCTCTTCTAATACTATGGATATAGACCTTACACCTTCACAAGTCAAAAAAATTAAAGATAATATCCCTCAATTTCCAGTTCTATCTTTCAAATTAACATCATCAATCCCACCCTTTCCTCTTAACTACTCGCAACTTCCAACTACTTTTACTACCTCACAAGTAGATACATCTCAAATTCAGCCCACTCAAACCATGCTCATACCTGCATTATCTGTAAACAGAAAAACATTTCTTGTGTTTTTCTTAGCAACAACAAACATGCTTTACTTGATAAGTTTACACTTAATATTCAAGGTTATCTTTCACATCCTACCTGTATTCATAGGCTTAAGCTTAAACTACAACTACAAACAGTCATTGGCAAAAAAAATAGACTGCTATATATCGTTTACTAACCAAGGTGGATATATAGTGATGCTAATTACCCTATCGATTTCTATCGATTGCGATTACAATCGATAGAAATCTAATTCGATTACAATCGATATATATCCAATTCGATTACAATCGATATATATCCAATTCAATTACAATCGATACATATCCAATTCGATAGAAATCAGCAGAGGTGATTAGCATCGCTATATATCCATCTTGGTTAGTAAACGATAAAATTCGATGACTATCGATATATATCCAATTTG